AAATCAATAAACAGTATGTTAATACATCATATCAACAGAATGAAGGACAAAAATCATATGATCATGTCAATGCAGAAAAAGCATTTAATAAAATTCAGCATTGCTTCCTGATAAAAACTCTCAGCAAACTAGGAATAGAAAGAACATAACTCAAAATCATAAAGGCCATATCTGACAAACCCACAGCTGACATCATAGTGAATGGGGAAAAGCTGAAAGCCTTTTCTCTAAAATCTGGAACAAGATTTCTCCACTCTTAATCAACATAGTAGTGGAAGTCCTAGCCAGAGCAGTCAGGCAAAAGAAAGAAATAAAAGGCATCTAAATTGAAAAAGAGGAAGTCAAATTTTTCCTCTTTTCCTGATAATATGATCTTACATCTAGAAAAACCTAGGTCTTACTTCTAGATTGCACCAAAAAACTTTTAGATGTGATAAATTAGTAAAGTTTCAGAATATAAAATGAACATAAAAAAATTAGTAGTCTTGCTACACACAAATAATGAACTAGCTGAGAAAGGGAGCAAGAAGGCAATACTGTTTACAATAGCTACAAATAAAATAAATTACCTAGGAATAAATTTAACCAAGGAAGTGAAATATTTCTTCAAGGAAAACTATAAAACACTGATGAAAGTAATTGAGGAGGACACAAACAAATGGAAAGACATCCCATACTCATAGATCAGAAGAATTAGTATTGTTAAAAGGACTGTACTGCACAAGTCAATCTACAGATTCAATGCAATTGCTATCAAATTACTGCTGTCATTTTTCACAGAATTAGGAAAAAAACAGTCCTAAAATTTGTATGGAACTAAAAAGATCTCAAATAGCGAAAGCAATCCTGAGCAAAAAGAACAAAGCTGTAAGCAATCATGTTACCTGACTTCAGAATATATTGGGAGGCTATATCAACCAAACAGCATGGTAGTGATATAAAAACAGATATATTGACCAATGAAATAGAATAGAGTGTCCAGAAATAAATCCACATATTTATACCCAAATGATTTTCAGTTAAGGTACCAAGAACATATACTGTGGAAAGGACACCCTCTCCAATAAATGGTGCTTGGAAAATTGGATCTGTATATGCAGAAGAATGAAACTGGAGCCCTCTCACCATATATGAAAATCAATGCAAGATGGATTAAAGACTTAAATGTAAGACCTGCAACTATAAAACTACTAGAAGAAAACATAGGGAAAACACTTTAAGACATCAGCCTAGGCAGCTAACTGTGAGGCTGAGGCAGCAGGATCACTTAAACCTAGGAATTTGAGGTTACAGTGAGCTATGATTGTACCACTGCACTCCAGCCTGGGCAACAGAGAAAGACTCTGTTTCTAAAAAATTAAAAAAAAAAAAAAAAGTGGGCCAAAGGCATAAAGACATTTCTCAAAAGAAGACATACCAATAGACAACAGAAATACATTTTAAAAAATGCTCGACATCACTAATCATCAAAGAAATGCAAAGCAAAACCACAATGAGATATCTTACCCCAGGTAGAATGGCTATTACCAAAAAGACAAAAAATAACATGCTAGTGAGGATACAGAGAAAAGGCAACCCTTAAATTGTTGGGAATGTAAATTAGTACAACTACTATGGAAAACAGTATAGAGATTTCTCAAAAAATTAAAAATAGAACTATTAATACGATATGATCCAGCAGTCTCACAACTGGATATTTATTTATCCAAAGGAAAAAAAAGTTGTATATCAAAGGGATGCCCGCACTCATGTTTATGGCAGCGCTGTTCACAATAGCAAAAATACTGAATCAACCTGTGTCCACTGACGGATGCATGGCTGAGCACATGTGGTATATATGCACTATGGAATACTATTTGGCCATAAAAAAGAATGAAATAATGTTGTTTGCAGCAACATGGATGGAACTGGAGGTCATTCTGTTAAGTAAAATAAGCCAGGCCCAGAAAGACAGATACCACATGTTCTTACTCATGTGGGAGCAAAAAAAGTTGATCCCATGAAGATAGAGACTAGAATGACAGATAACAGAGGCTGGGAAGGGAGTGTGGGTGGCAAGGGGGGAATAATGAGTGGTTGGTTTTGGGGTACAAACATACAGTTAGATAGAAGGAATAAACCCCAATATCTGATAGCATAGTAAGGGGACAATGTATTATACATTTCAAAGTAGCTAGAAGAGAAGACTTGAAATATTACCAACATATAGAAATGATAAATACTTCAGGTGATTGATAACCCAAATATCCTGACTTGATCATTACACGTTCTATGCATATAATAAATACATGTACCTCATAAATATGTAAAATATTCTGTATCAATAATAAAAAATAAAAGCATTGACTTAGTTCTAAAAAAAAAATACACAAAAATTTGAGATCCTAAAAATGTAAAACCTAATCTATATTGAGGCAAAGATTACTCATAATAGATCCATATCTGCTTTCTATGTCATCTCATATTAAAAGTATCCTGGCTAGTTTATAAGAACTTTTCACATATGGATTGGTTGTCATGGAAACCTACCTTAAAACCTACTGTTGTAATCTATACTTGGTCTGAAGTGTATATAAGTGGCTAAAAAGTCCCATGTTAGGCAGAAAAGCATCAAGACTCTTGGTGCTTTCCAATTCAGGGCTCTTAACAGATTTACCTATACAAACAAGGCGGATTTGTAAGTATGTTTTTCCCTTACTGAGTATTCAAGCTAGCCTTGCCCCAGTGCATGATAAGAATTGATAGGTACTAGAGTTCATCCAAGAAAACAAATCAAAGGCTGAAGTTCTGAGGATGTGTACCTATAGCTCCTGACACCAGAATCTCCCACAGGTCCTTTTGTGATTTTACAGAACTGGAAGTGATTGCTATCATTTTTAATTACTCTTGTGTATTTATTTATCATTCTCAGCCTGTAATTGGTTCTCCAGTACTTATGCAGAGGAGGGATGCAAAGCCAGTTCCCTGAACTTTAAGCCGTTGGAAAATTCTGCCATTGGCTATAGCTATTTCAATCTCAAATAGGTTTAGTAAAAGAATAGTGTCTGGTCTCAATCTTTTTTTTTTTCTTTTATTATCTCCCTATTATCTCTTTGAGCCAAGTACTACAATTGTGCCTTTTAACAAGGACCAATGTAGTAAAATAAAGAACAGAGTGGACACGCCATCATAAGCATTTAGAATGACACGTGTCTGTAAAGCAAAAGTTTTCAATCCAAAGTTTCCACAGTATCCTTTCACCTTAAATTGAGGAAAAGTTGTGACTTGCTTCTAGGCCCTGTATCTAAAGCTATTTTTTTTTTTTTTTGAGACAGAGTCTCACTTTGTTGCCCAGGCTAGAGTGAGTGCCATGACATCAGCCTAGCTCACAGCAACCTCACACTCCTAGGCTCAAGCAATCCTGCTGCCTCAGCCTCCTGAGTAGCTGGGACTACAGGCATGCACCACCATGCCCGGCTAATTTTTTCTCTATATATTAGTTGGCCAATTAATTTCTTTCTATTTATAGTAGAGACGGGGTCTCGCTCTTGCTCAGGGTGGTTTCGAATTCCTGACCTCAAGCAATCCGCCCGCCTCGGCCTCCCAGAGTGCTAGGATTACAGGCGTGAGCCACCGAGACCAGCCCTAAAGCTATTTTATAATTATCTCCTGCCATTTCCTACACACCCACCAAGATTTCATCCAGAATCTTCTGAGGATCCTTAGGCCCATTTGAGACAGAGGAAAAAGAAGTTAGAGGCAAATAAGGATATTACCTTCGCTTAACAGTTAATGTGTAGATATAATTATATGTACCTATTTTATCTTATATAATTGTTATGTATTTCTAAGTTTTAAATTTTTAGTGCAAATTAAATAATATTTATAAAATATACCTAAAGAGTAAAAAATAATGAATAATACCAGAAGCATCAGTATACATAATGCCCATTTTAAGAAAAAGAACATTACTGGTATATAAACCAAATGTCATTCCTTTCCTTCATCCACAGAAGAACCTATATTTTATGTTTATTCATGTTTGTAAGATCCTTGATTTTCTTATAGTATTCAGTGCACATATTGTAATCCTTGTAAGTTGTTGTTTGGTTTTACAAGGCTGATGGGGGAAAGGGAATATGAGTTTATTTTTCTTTTATTCTTAACATACCTGGAGCAGGACAGGTCTTGAATTGGATTCCCCTACTGAGGGGACCCCAGCTTTATCTCTGATCCCTGACATCCCCACAAAGTCACGAAAACTGAAGTTGTCATTCCTCAGGTTCAGTAAGTACCCTCAGGGTAAAAGCTGGCTTCAGGGCTCTTCCTACCTACCTCACAGGGTTTTCTCCCACTTTTACTTCATTTTTGACCTCTTGTTATTATTGATATTTACTTCCTTAAAAGTTCATCAATGCAGTTAAAAATGTTTTGTTTTCAGTGGGAGGGGGTTGGGGAATTAAAAATTACCTGTCAGGTACAATGCACGCTATTCAAGCAATGGGTACACTAAAAGCCCTGGTTTCACCACTGTATAAGTCATCCATGTAACAAAAAATATTTGTATTCCCTAATTGTATAGAAATTTAAATATATATATATTTTGGTTTCATATTATGTCTATCATTTTTAGCTGTTTTTATCTGAATACTCTTTCAGGGAACTTGGTTATACTTCTGGAAATGGAAGAATCTAGTTCACTTTCTAGTTTTAAAACATTCATGTTGTGTTCCCGTGTGTTCTTTTCATATGCACAGAGTTATATGGTCCTGGGAGAAACTCATTTTGATTGGCAATTACCTTTTCACTTAATTTTTGGGGGCCATCTCTTCTTAAATGACTGCATAATAATTTGACAAATGTATATAAACAGCTGATTACTTGACTTGGAGACGATTCTTCTCATTGGTGTGCACCTGAGTATGAAGTTATATAAATACATTTAAGAATTAAATTATAATTTTGTGTAGAGTTTCTATTTGTATGCTTGTATTTACATGTATGTATATGTTTTTTACTAGGCCGCTGCACTGAATAAAGATGCCAACCAGAATTTCTTGAAATTGTTTGATGGATATGTTTACAGTGGCGTGGAAACTTTGGGGAAGGAGCTCTTTATGTACTTTGGGCAAAAAGCTTTCCGGTAAGATAAACTCGTACATCTTATCTCTCTGCGTTTCGAGATGTGTAGGCGGCATTTCTTGGAGTTTGCCAGTTGTCACATCCAATCATGTAGAAGTACTTTATTTTTAAGAGCGCTCTAATATAAGAGGTTGCAATTCTATCATGGCAAGCAGCAAGCAGAAGAATAAATTGTGATGTCATGGTTACTTGGAGGTAGTCAATTTATTTCTCTTTAAAAAATTGATAGGCTAGCAGGGCTTCCCAAGATGTATTAGAGCAACACATCTTTGTTTTGCTATTCCCCAAACTCCCTGCACAGCTAGTCTCCCCTCTTGTTTTCACTAAATGTTTATTGTATTCAGTGACATCAGTTACTTTGTGTTTGTGACAGGCCCTCATTTGATTTAAATGTGTCAGTAGATTTTCAAAATATTTTTCTGTCTTCTTTCTCTGAAGCCTTGAATAGATTTGGAAACTTACAGAATTTCAAAACTTACAGAATTTCACAATTCCTATGGAAATTTGTAGCTAATATATTGGCAAAGAAAGACAAGCAATCTGCTACCTTGGTTGACTTAATGATAAAGATGTCAAAATTTATGTAATTCCATGCATGATCACATATTTTATTTTTGCAAGGAAATCAGTTAATATGTCTATTGAATCTCAGTCTGTCTTTTCTGAGTTTAGCCTGCACTTTTGCAAACTGTATAGATTGGTACTGCTTCCTTGAATCTTTTTTAGTGTTTCTTTAAGATATTGAACAGTTGTCACCTTCTTAAAAGAAAGAACTGTTTCTGGCCCCCATGTTTCCAACTGAAGGTGAATAATGGTCACAAAGAGATGATATGACTATATGATTGTTATTTATTGCATCTCGTCTACCACGTGTTTAGAGTACTTCAGGGTTTATGTAATTGCTTTTCCTTTGAGGTGTTCTCTCTTTATTGTCAGCAGCTGCTGTCCTTGGACAACATTGTCACTTCATGGTTTTTCTTAGTCTGGAATTGATAACATCAGCATATGCCCACTGGTTCATGCAGTAATGATATATTGCAGGTTACATTATTGCTATAGTAGATTGATGTGATTGAAAACTCATAGCTCTGGACAGAGTAGTACACAATGGAATCTACGCACAATAGTTAAAAACATTGGTATGTTATTGAATCTTTGGTATTAGGTGCAGATTTATTTATGTGGGATGAGAGGGAGGTTTTTATCAAGTGTTCTCCTTCAGACTGTTAAGGGGGGAGTCATTTCTCAGTATAGGGCTGTCAATAAGTATTCTATGAAGTTCTAAACAAGGGCAATGGTTTCTTCAAACTGCGTGAACTTGCACCATTCCTGGAGAGTACTTATCTCAGTATATGGCCAGGGAAAAATGCAGTGACTTCCTTCTTTTAAATTTCTTGCAGCCTTAACAACTATCAGACTTAACAATTCAAGATCAATGGCAGATCTGTGTTAGATTCTGCACTCAGAGACCTAAAATCAACTGTGTCCCCTTTCACAATGTAACATTAAGTTCAAAAAATGCATTCTCAACCTGTGTTGCTTTGGGGTATGGATGAGTCTGTCAAAGAATGTGATCTTTTTGTGAGAATGCAGGTCTGTGAACATGAGATAGAAATGTAGTCTTCATTTTTAACTTATGTTTCCTATCAACCAGACTTGGTTAATTGTCATTTGTATATTTTATAGGGTAGAGTATATATATTAATTTCTTTTTCCTTTGTATTGGATGTTTTCATATTATTGAGTCACAACTATTCTTTTTATATTCTAGATGAAAACCCTTTATCCAATACATGTTTTACAAGTATTTTCTGCCAATCTGTGGCTTATCCAATCAAAAACTTTCAATTTTGATGAATTCTAATTTATCAATTTTTTCTTGTATGGTTCATACTTTTTGTGACTGGTTGAAGAAATGTTTGCTTAGTGCAAATTCATTATGATTTTCTTCTTTGTTTTCTTCTGGAAGTGTTATTGTCTTAGCTCTTACGTTTAAGATTATGATCCGTTTTGACTTAATTTTTGTACGTAGTGCAAGGCTAGAGTTGAAGGTCACTTTTTTTTACGTGTGTATATCCAATTGTTCCAGCACCATTGTTAAAGCAATTATTCTTTCTCCATTGAATTTCCTTGCAACTTTGTTGGAAATTATATGTATGGTCTATTTCTGAATTCTACATGTTCTTTGATCTATGTGTCTATCTTTTCATCAATAATACATTGTCTTGATTAAAGTAGCTTTAAAGTAAGTTTAAAATAGGCAGTATGACTACTCTGACTTTATTTTTTTTTATTGTTTTTCCTGTTTTAGTTCTTTTGCCTTTCCACATTTTAGACTCAGCTTGTTGATTTCTACAAAATACTTTCTGGGGTTTTGATTGGCCTTATGTTGAATCTATAGATCAACTAGGTGATAGTTCAGATGTTAACAATATTGTCTTCCACTCCATGAACACAGTATATATCTATATTTAGGTTGTCTTTTATTTATTTATCATTATTTTTTAATTTTCAGAATCAGACATATTTTATATTTTAACTAAGTGGATTTTTGTGCTATTATAAAAGGTATTCTTTCTTTTTTTGAATTTCTAATTGTTCATTGCTAGTATATTAGAATATAATTCTTGTGTGTGTACTGACCTGGTATCCTACAACCTTGTTAAACTCAATTATTAGTTCTAGTAGCTTTTTTTTTTCACTTCTGTATTACTTTTCTGTGTAGACAATCATGTTATCTGCAAAATGAAGCAGTTTTATTCCTTCTTTTCAAATTTGTATGCCTTTTATTTCTCTTTCCTGCCTTATTGCACTGGCTAAGAACACCAGTATGATATTGATTAGAAGTAGTGAGGGCAGATAGCTCTGTCTTATTCTCCATGTTACTTTTTTGGTAGATGTCCTTTATTAAATTGAAAAGGTTCTCTTTTATTCCTAATTTGTTGAGAATATATATCATGAATGAATATTAAATTTTTTCAAGTATTTTTCTACATCAATTGAGATCGTCATATATTGCTTCTTTATTTAATTTGTTTATATGGTGAATTATACAGATTGAGTTTCAAATTTTGAATGAGCTTTGCATTCCTACGATATGCTTCACTTTGTCATGATGTATTATCCTTTCTATCTGATGCTGAATATGCTTTGCTAATATTTAGGATTTTTACATTTGTCTTAATGAGAGATACTGGATTTAGAGAGAGAGAGTTTTATTTTCCTATTAGTGTCTTTTTCTAATTTTGGTATCAGGGTAATGCTGGCCTTCACATGAGTTGGGAATTTTTTCCTTCTGATTTTCTAGAAGAGTTTGTGTAGATTTGGTTTTGGTACAATATTACCTGAAGTATCTAGAGTCCTAGGAAGAGAAGAGAGAGGAATAAAACAAAAGACTTTTTTTGTAATACCAACAAAGCAAAGGCAAACAGAAGACATTTTTAAAGAAGTCATGGCCAAGAATTGTACAGTATTAATAAAGCTGTGAAACAAGATCAAATGTTCTAACGTATCTGTAACTGGAATCCTAGAAGAAAAAAAAAAGAACAGGACAGGAGACATTTTGGAGTTAAGTGACTAAGAATTTTCTAAACAAAGCATGATCCAGGAAACTTAAAGAACCTTAAATTAAAACAAATATACCTCACACATGCCTAGCAAATGTGCTAAAAACCAAAGATGTAGAGAAAATGCTGGGAGCAACCACAGAAAAAGAAACATTATATACAAAGGAAAGTTTAAAAATGTAGTAAACTTCTCATCAGAAATTATACAAGACAGAATACAACAGAGCAACATCTTTAAATTTTGAGGATAGCCAGGAAAAGTGTGGCTGATATTTAAGATAAGATCAGAGCTTATTTATTAATTTGTTTTAGGAAGCTGTTTCTAACTAGAGGAATTTTCATACTGTTAATTCAATTTTTAGTTTGGGCATAATCTCTATATTAGAACTTTAGACTGCAGACAGGCCTCCCTTGGCTTCTCCGGTACCTACGTTGGGAAGCATTTCTGTAGACAGCTTCCGCATTTGATTTCTTAATACTAACTAAAAACTGATCTCTCTGTGTCCTAAATCCTTATATTCATCAGGGGAACTAAGGAATCCAGCTTTGATACTGATGAATCCAGCTTGGGACAGGAGTCCATTCCTAAATCAGCCATACCAAAGGCATGGGATCTGAGGAAGGAACAGAGACTAGTCCAGGCTGGACCTAATGCCCACCCTGGGACCAGGCAGCTATGGTTGACAGGCAGACTTACATTATGCATAGTGAATGGTCTCAGGTAACTTTCTGGATTGGAGTTAGAAGGACCTTAAGGAGGATCAAGATAGAAATAAGGATCTAATAAAATTTTTCTAAACTAGTTATAAGGAATCTTGAAAAGCAAGTGAAACACTCGAAATCTCTTTCCTGAATGTAAATATGGGCCTATGTCTTGCTCTATAAAAAAATCAGTATGTCAATTGTTATAACAATAGATGTTTACTGTGCCTCCAAAATTTTCATGATATATTTTTGGTAATTTAAGATAAAAGGTACCTAACAAATACTCAAAATTTCTTGGTTTATTGGAGCTAAATTATAATATTTAGCTATTTAATAAAAATAAAATAGCTAGTTATTTTTATGCACATTTTTCTCTAAATTGAATAAATTTATAAGACAAAGGTATATACTTGTTTGATTTAGGATTCTTATTGAGGCTACTCCAGCATTTGAATCGGGTCTTAACCTTTGGGATTTTTGATGTGAATGTGGTTTCATTATAGAAAGTGATTTAGAATCCACTTTATGAGCCATGCAGCTGAAAAGATTTTAGATACAATGGCTTCTAGGCATGACAGTTGTACACCTTTCACTGGGGTTGAACCTCCATAAGCTAAATTATGGAGTACTTACAGGCACACATTTTTCCTGTCAAGAACTATGGGGCATGTAAAATGCATTTATGATTGATAGTAGGGCACACAGAGTTTAAAACCCACATTTTTAATGTTACACTGGTTACCCTTGTACAATACTATAACATGGTGCTTTGGAATTAGAAGCACAGAAGAGTAACATTTGCTGCCAAAAGAGCCATATTTATTAACTCAATACAGTTATAAGGAGAAGGATTTGAAAGACAGAACACAGTATTTCATCTTGAGAATCATTTTTGATCTTCATCACTGGTCTCACAGAACCTTTTTTTTTTCTTTGACTGGACATGCTAATCAATCCTATAAAATCTGAAAGGTTATGAATTTTTCATCACTGTATTGTGGCTTTAAAGTTAACTGTAAATATTTATAAATCTCCTCTTCCCAATACACATAAAGGTAAAAGAAAACGGAAAGAATTGAAGAAAATACTATTTTGACTTATTCTCTCTCTCCCTCTTTTTCTTTTACTTCTTTTTTGGATACACGAGATTTTGCAAAAAATTGTTCCTGCAGGAGTGAAGAAAAGAGTATCTTAAACTGTAGATATTATTGTGCCATAGGCAAAAATTTGCAATCCATTGTGGCTAGAAATAAGGAATTTGATAAGGAATTAGTGGCTTTGTAGAATTTATAAAAACACAAACTATAGGCAATTTAAATTTAGCCTTATCTCATCCCAAACCTTTGAATCTGAGAAAATGCCAAGAGATGCTAGACTGTTATGTGAATAAAAGATACTTCATCTGACAAGAAAAGAAGAGGCAGGGGTATATTTTCTTGGGCTTTATTGTCAAGGTCTTATTATTTCCCTGAGAAGTTATTTGTGAGTTAAAAAACTGACTGTCATATCATCTAGCTTTGTAAGAATACAAAGCCATAACAGAAAAATATATAATCATATTAGCTACCAATTTTGCCCATTAATAGTGCCTATCCTGATTAATATTTGTTTGCTTATAATCCAAAAAAAGTGAAGTAACAGGGAAATATTCAACGCATGATATAGTTTCTGCCACTCAAAAAAGGGTTTGATTTTGTTTCAGGATTCATTTTGGAATGAAAGGCTCCGTCATGATTAATCCACTTGGGTATGAAAATAGAAATGGAGTTTCTCCTGTTCTTGAAATACAGCTTACCAAAGATTTGATTTGTTTCTTTGACTCATCAGTAGAACTAAGGTAAAAAAATAAAATGAAAGTACTTCAGCCGCAAAACTGCAGAGCTTGTTTGGGGATGTCACATGTACTAATAAATGAGTGAATGAATGAAAACTCATTTTAAAGGAGCCTTCAAATAATGTAATGTGTTAAGATCTTCATTGTTTGCCTATGTAACTCATACCCTGATTACGACAAAGTGTTTATATTTATACCAAAGTTCATTTTAAGTGACACTTGGTGAAATTGTAACCAGACTTATGATTAATGTGTTTTATATTTCTTTCTATAGAAACTCAATGGAGAGCCAACAGAGAATAAGAATGATGGAAGAATTAGATATATGTTCACCTAAATTTAGTTTCTCAAGAGCAGAAAGTGAAGTTAAAAAGCAGAGAGGTCGGATGCTATGTGATGTGTTAATGGATCAGAGAGTGTTGCCCGGGGTAGGGAACATCATCAAAAATGAAGCTCTCTTTGACAGTGGTCTCCACCCAGCTGTTAAAGTAGGTTATAAGTATTTTTTTTAATTTTGTGTCTATTTTTTAGTCCAGTGAAGGGACTAGTGTGGAGCTCTTAAGTCTGCCTTGTAGTAACGCATTCTCCTGAGGCTTCAGATGTCCTTCCTCCTGTCTTTGCTTCGCGTCAACTTCTCAGCACGTCCAACTCCGATCACCCTGCTTAAAACTGCAGTGTGCATCTTCTCCTGCCGCTCCACGCTGCCCATCCCCAGTCTTCCTTAACCTGCTTCGCTTTTTATTTCCTCCATACCATTGATCACTTTTAGACATAATACTCACTTATTATTACTTACTGTTTAAAATCTGTCCCCTCCTGTTAGAATGTAATCTCTGAAAAGCACAAGGTGTCTGTTTTTGAACCCCCTATACAAAAAATTGGCCCTCTATGTATGCAGTTTCACATCCTGTGAATATTGTATCTCCAGTCCTTGTTTGATTGAAAAAAAATCCACGTACAAGTGGACCCAAGCAGTTCAAACCCACGTTGTTCAAGAGTCAACTGTACATATACATATTCATACACGTACATCAAGGGTAAGACATCAGACAGGATTTCTTCTGGAATTACCATTGAGAGCACATGTGACAAATAATAATTCTGCAAGGGTAACACTGAGATGTATGCTAGACTTTGTCACAAAGAAATTCTTCAGTGACGTCTGTTTCTGAGTTCTTCCATGTATTAATAAGTACTTTGATATTAATGCTTGTACATAAATTCATATACCTTTAAAGTTGATACTGATCTTGATGGTCATCTATTCCTGAGCGTGTTTTTCTCTCTCTCTTCTTTCATTCTGTTTTATGTTTTTCTTTTAAATTTTTTTTCAAATCCAGCAAGACTTTTCAAGGTGTCTGATAGGAGGCAATTTTGTGACTTTGAAGATGTCTGATACAGACTAAATGTTCAATATGACCTTGAATTTACAATTAAAATGTATAAATGGGAATGGTATTTTTATCACTAGTACTAGCGACTAAAAAATATATATGAGGAATAGAGTTCTAGAAGCTATGCATGTACAGCTGACCCTTGAACAACTCGGAGGCTGGGGCACTGACCTCTGCACAGTTAGAAATCTACATATAACTTTTGATGCTCCAAAAATTTATTAATAGCCTACTGTTGACTAAAAGCCTTACTGATAACATACAGTCGATTAACACATTTTTTATGGGTGCCATATACTGCATTCTTACAATAAGATAAGCTAGCGAAAAGAAAATCACAAGGAAGAAAAAGTATATTTACTATTCATCAAGTGGAAGTGGATCATCATAAAGGTCTTCATCCTCATCATCTTCACATTGAGTAGGCTGAGGAAGAGGAGGGGCTGGTCCTGCTCTCTCAAGGGTAACAGAGATGGAAGAAAACCTACGTCTAAGTGGACCCTCACAGTTCAAACCCATGTTGTTCAAGGGTCAACTGTATTTTAATTCAATTTGCAGTTATCTTTAACAGAATTGGCAAGTGGTATTTTTTTTTACATTAATGAACAAATTATGAAACTAAGCTGAGTTGTTTTTTCATTTTAAGGTTTGTCAGTTAACAGATGAACAGACCCATCACCTTGTGAAAATGATACGTGATTTCAGCATTCTCTTTTACAGGGTAAGAGCAAAATTTTTCAACTTTGTAAAATGTCAATGGTTTCCCTTTTAATTGCACCAAAACATGTTAAAGCTGTATATAGCCATCTAGTGGTGAGAGTATAGAGGTACAATAACGGAGAGTGACATTTTATGGGTGTAATTAACATCTTGAAATTCTAGGTCCTAGGTCAGTTCAAACTTGTCTAACTATAATTATATTAAATTATCTTTATACTAAGTTGGGGAGCAGCAGTGTTAGAATTTTACACACTCTTTTTCTATTTTTGCTTCTATAAATTATGGGAAGTCTAGAGAGATAGACTTATAGTAATAGTTTAGAATAAATAGACCTTAGTTCAATCAGGCTTTGCCACTTACTATTTGTGTGGTTTAGATTATTTAGATAACTTTATTTAAGTTTAGTTTCTTTGTCTGTAAAATGGATTAATAGTAGTTTTCTGTCTACCACAAAGACAGTTTTAAGAATGAAGTAAGTACTTACTAGCTTGTAAATTTTAAAAGTCACACACACTACATGCATGTATGGAGTTCAATAAACATATTTTATTTTTTAAACAAAGTACCATAAATATTTCAGGTTTTTCCTCTAAGTCCATTTTCTATATTCAAAATTCTTATTTTTACTATGTTCAGAAAGGCAGGTATTATAGCATTTTTCATTAATTGGCCTAAAGTATTAATGAACCTCTTGTTTTATAGATTTGCCTTGAGTAACTATAGCTATTTTTAAATCGTATATGTTTGCTTCTTCGGAGAAAGGTGACTATAGAAAACTGCCCATTTTCTGCCCAGAATAAACTGGGTATTGCAGTACTTTGCTTAAATTAATATAAATTGTTTGTGTAATTTTCAGCTCTTACATAGTGAGCCATATTTCTGGGCTTTTATATTTTTACACTGCTCATGGACACCCAAAATATTCTCTTTGTAGAAGCATTAAATGTGAATAGAATAAAACTGACAGAAAAATGTCAAAATATCTTTTGAAAATAGAACTCATACCAAAATGGGACATGTTCTCTGCGAGGGTGGTATTTGAATGTTTATTTTCTTTTTTCATGAATCTCTAAAGTTAAAAAAGAAAAATTGTCCTTCTTTAGGTCGACACAGATGCTCTTGCTAAATGTTGTCCCCTAGAAATAAGTTTTTTGGCTGGTAAAACTGAGTGAGCAGCTTCAGTGTTCTAAAAATAATCAGATTTAAAGCTAATCTCTTATAACCACACAATTACATTTAATTAAAGAAAAAGCTTAAAAGCATAAAAGACAATTTTAAATATAGAACTTTTTTATATCTCACTTAGATAAGAGGGCAAAGCTATGCAAAAAGTACAGTTTTGAATACTAATAAGTTATAAAATAATGACGATTATTTCACACAGATCTTATTTGACAAATATTACTGAGTCTTGTCACTACCTTTTTCTCAGATGAAAGAAAAGATTATATGGGCATATGTTCAAACATATGTAAATTTTTAACAGATTGTTTTCAGAAATGACTTTGAAGAATTTTTATTTGGCTCTTTAGCAACACTGTTTTGTAGATAGCATTTTAATCTATTTATTTATTTATTTATTTATTGTAGTGCCGTAAAGCAGGATCTGCTATCTCTAAACACTACAAGGTTTACAAGCGTCCTAACTGTGGTCAGTGCCACTGCAAAATAACTGTGTGTCGCTTCGGGGAAAATAACAGAATGACATATTTCTGTCCTCACTGTCAAAAAGAAAATCCTCGACATGTTGACATTTGGTAAGATATCCGATTTAACAAGATACCATTTGCCCCAATTATCTTATTAAAAGGCTAATAATCAGAGAATATAACTGAATAACTGTCAGGTTATTCATAAGAGAACATAACTCAAAAGTATTTGAACCCTTGGAAGGAAATAGTATTAAGTAACACCATCAAAGATCCAGAAGAGCCAAAGATGATTTATGAACCACTTCTGCATTCTCCAGTAGAAAAATCTCCAGCTCAGATGATAATATCTAGCCTTTAGCTTTAATCTAGTTTGTAAAGTGAGTACCAGGAGATATCCATAATTGGAAAAAAATGCAGCTATCCAAAAGTCTTTGCTTTATTTAGAAATAATGTTATGAAACATGACCAAAATCTCCTTACAGAATTTATGTCTTGTCGGTAAAACAACAGGCTACTTAATAAGCCCATATGTGATGTGATTGTGCCATCTGCTGATTCTGTCTCTTCTAATTATACATTCTGGAACTGGGGAAATGACCACAGCATAGGTTTGGGGACCCACTATAAGATGAACTTGAGTTAAAACTCCATTGATCACTTGACCTGACTCATGGACCCCAGTGATGTTTTGGATCTCCTGGAATTACTGTCAATTCAGATCCAATGTCTAGCAAGTCTCAAAAAATATGATTATGTTCTTTTTCTCAACATATAGTAGTTACCCTGCTAAAAGGCTGTAGGTCCTTTGGGAAAAGCAGGTAGAAAAATTAACAGTATAATGTAGTGGCATAGCAATACATGTGATTATAAGACAAAATTACCAGTACAAATAGGAAGCACATGAAATGCTGTAAGAGTTTAGGGATATTAGAGGTTTATATATGCAAGAAGCTTGGGAAGACTTTGTAAAGTGTCATTTGAAATTTACTTTAAAAAATTAGAATTTTGGTTAAGTAAATGGTAAAGCAAACATTATTTAATTAGATAAAAAAGAGCATGGCCACAAAGTTTGAATGATTAATAAGCATGGCATGTTGGAAGGATGAGGAAAATACTGGCCACACCCAGTGAAGGCTCCAAGTTGTTGAATAGTCAAAGCTAGTTTTACGGGCAGGGTGAGATCAAATAGTAGGAATCAGTAGTAGTTCTGGGAATGGTTAAGATCTTTAGGACTCCTAATTGATCCCAGCATAGTTAGGATAGAAAATGAAGAACTGAAAACACGTGTGAAGAAGCTGGTGCAGAGTAATGGGCAAGACATGGTTACCTAGGCCTGGGGTCAAGACACTGGAGAAGTAAATTGAAATGTTTAATAAAGCAACAAGAACTGTGGCAGAATTGATATGTAGGATAATGCAAAAAAAGCTTCTAAGCCAAATAATAGACATTTTCCCATTATGGATCTGGGAAAGTTGGGACAGAATAGTGAAGATACACTGAGTGTTAGATAAGTGAAGTAACGGTGGAATATCCAGGAAGAGATGTCTCAGGGGCCAGAGTGGGAGATGGTAGCTGGAGGGTTCTCAGCACAGTTGCTAGTTGAAGCATTCAGACCTTCTTAGTTCACTGAGAAAAAATAAAGAAATGAACCAAGTCTGAGCTTCAGGGAAACCTATAACTAGAGTAGCAGGAAAAGAGGTAAGCAAAGGAAACAAAATGATAGGATTGGAAATGGGAAGAGAAGCAGGACACTACTGGGCTGTGCAGGAGCCCTGGGAGGAGGCAGGGGCTGTGGTGTCTGTGCAGAGCTGGGGCTGCAGGACGGAGCTGTCGTGCACTGGAGATCCTGGCTTATGTCTTCATAAACGTATCTGGAGCTGCTTTTTATTCCTTCTGCCCCTGTGTTTCATTGTCTGCATCACTTCTTATTCTCAACTACTACTCTCTAAACCACTCCATATCTCCTTCCTCTTAGCTTCTTTACTCCATTGTGCTATCATAGAGATCTGAAATATGTTTAGATAATTAGTTGTATGTATTTTATAGGTTTAAGATTTTCTTATTTTTCATGAACAAGAACAATTTTTGTAGTATAAATGTACATTTATTTGACCAAATGCATTTAACACAGTATTTGACAGAACTTCAGTGTATATTTTTCTATTAAATAAATTGTTAATGTTCTGTATTTATTTTCTTTGAATTGATGCCTTTTAAGATTTTAAAACATTTCTTATGTTACATAATCATCAAATAAATGTATTGTTTATCGTATTAGTAATTGTTAATTACAAAACTAGGTTTTAAAAGCCCAAGGGTTACCCAAAGAGACTTGGGGTCACCTATGAGTTAGGTGAGGCCATGCTATGCTGTCTTTTGCCTTGTTATAAAGGAATACCTGAGGCTGGGTGATTTATTTACTTGTTTTTAAAATTGTTTAGAGATAGGGTCTTGCTCTTATGCATAGGCAGGAGTACACTGGCATGATCATAACTTACTGTAACCTTGAACTCCTAGGATCAACGGATCCTCCTGCCTTGCCTCCTGAGTAGCTAGGACTACAGGTGTACTTCCACTCTCGGCTGTTTTTTTAATTTTTTGTAGAGATGGAGTCTCATTATGTTGTCCATGCTGGTCTTGAATTTCTGGCCTCAAGCCATCCTCCTACCTCAGCCTCCCAGAGTGCTGGGATTACAGGCATGAGCCACTACGCCTGGCCGAGGCTGGGTAATTTATAAAGAAAAGAGATTTATTTGGCTCAGGGTTCCAGGGTCTACGAGAAGCATGGTGTCAACATCTAGTTCTGATGAGGGCTTCCGGAAGCATCCATTCATGGTGGAAGGCAAGGAGGAAGCTGGCATGTCACATGGTGAGAGAGAGAAGAGAGGTGCAAGGCTCTTTTTAATAGTTCTCATGGGAAGTATTAATAATAGAGTGAGAACTCATTGCTCAAGGAAGGCACCAGGCTATTCGTGAGGTATCCAAATCCATGACCCAAACACGTTCCTTTAGGCCCCAACATTGGGGATCATATTTCAACATGAGTTTTGGGGGACACATATATCCAATTATCCTTATATAGATATATATTATAAGTGGATATATTAATATATGCAATACATACAATTAATTATCTAAGCATATTTCAAACTATATTACACTGAAAATGTTCTGGGCTTTGTAATCCCTCCTCCCTCCTAACCTAATTCTGTTTTATATATAGGTATTCAGTTTAAGTCTTTATTTGGAAAACCAATTATACAGTGCAAAATAAATGTTTACATAATAAAAAAGCTGGAAACCAGTACTATTTGCTCTACTCTTAGATTTGTCTATGATTAATATATTCCATTTATTTTCTGATGAGTATTTGAATACTTTTTTGTTTACTAAGTTTTCTCATTTTAAAGTCATTTCAAGCTAAAGAAGTCTGAAAAGCTCAATAGCAATGAGCTAAATCCCCATGTTCCTTCAGTCACTAAAACTTACTTAACTCCTTCATGAAGTCTTCCCCAAATTTTCCAGTTTTCATTAATCGCACCCCACCTTAAATGCCTATGGCATTTATTATTGGCTCTTAATTATATACTAGCTAGCATCATTTTTGTATGTGAATATTGTTTCCTTTAGGGGAAACTACTTGACATACTTCTTTTTTTATTAGTCTTTTCATAAATTAACTTTTTAAAATTTATTGTTTAGTTTCTTTATTAGGGTCTACTGTATGCCAGGTACTAGGAATATGGCAAAATAGAATATAGCCCCTCAAAGTGCACAAGGTCTAATGTAGGTAGTAAATGAGTCAATAGATAATTAAGACACATAGAAGTGCTATAAAGGAATGTGTTTATAATAATGGCAATAGAATTATAGAGGAGGAAACACATTTGCCCAGGAAGGACAAGGAAATCTTTCAGAAAGAGGTGACATTTTAGCTTAGTGCAGAAGGAAATAGGAATTCATCAAAGACAAGAAGTAGGACACAGATTTCCTGGAAGAGGAAACAGCACATGGGAAATTGAATAGGGGAAACACCTTGTGTATTTGGATGTTTTTGTTCTTTAAGGAGACACATTCTCAGGTCTCTAAAAACTATATAGTTTGGAAATGTGCTGACAATTGGTTGCCAGTCGGTGAGAATTAAGTGCTCTTTGCAAACCAATCCTCAGAGTAGGTGTGAGCCTGAAGAGATTTTTGAGGGCATGGAGCAAATAGAGGGCACTTGGGAGACATGACAAAACCTGTGATGGGTCAGTCTCAGTAGGAAAATCTTGTTCTGGGAAGAGGGTTTGATTGCATAGTTGCCATGTTTATTTTTTAATTTTTTTTTATTTTATTCTTTTTTAACATATCATTTACTCTCAATATAGTTGCCATGTTTAAAACATAATTTGAAAGGAATGATTAAAACTCCAATAAAAGAAACTCAAATTATCATAAACTAAAATGGGAATTTATAGGTCATGTAGACAGAATATCGGGATAACTCAAAAGAATTAATGCAAAAGCTCTAGGAACCAGACCCTTGGAAACTGGAACCCATGAAGGTGACCTTGCCTAGGCTCTCTGAAGATGGAATAGGAAGAGCAAAGGCAAGTCTAAGCTGCCTCCTCAATACCTCAAGCTTCCTGATAATAAATTCTTTCTGGTTTGAGCAGAACTACATTGCAGAGGTCTTTCAGGAAGTATTGGTGGTCTGAGAATAGGATTCAAAGTAGGCCGAATGAGATAGTCAGTGACTCAAATGAAATAGAAGTTAAGCAGCAGCTTGGAATTTGTTTTTATTCAAACTTTCTTTAAATGCTGCTTTATTTGCATAACTTTTTTTTTTTAGTCTTACTAACATTTTTATTGGTATTTTAAAAAATTATCGTTTTGTCTGGACAAAGAAAAACCAGTTGCTTCACATGCTAGTAACTTGTCTCCATTGAGAAGTGCAGACTCCTTAGAGACCCTGTGCTCCACTCCTCCTCCCAATCCCCCACCTTGGAGTGATCCAAAATGACGGTTGAATACAGTAGCATTTGCACTTGCTGAGAGAAGGCACAGAGGAAAGGGAGGAAGGTCCAGTAGAGAGTCTTGCTGTTGCTTTAACTTTGGTGATCAAAAGAAAAGGTGCCCATGAAATCAGTGATGCTGTAGGAGTGAAGATGGGAAGTGATGGAGACAGTTCAATTCAACTGAGTTAGAGAGGGCGGGCTGGAGAGGCATGCCATTGTATTTGACATCTGGGAAATAGAGGTGATTTTCAAGAAGGCAGTTTTAATAGATATAATAGATATGTAGGGGGCAAAGTTTGTTCATTAGACCCATGTTTATGGAACACTTACAGAATAATATATTCCAGTGGAAGGAGTTCTTTTTTGTGTGTTTTTTTGCTTTGTTTTGTTTTGTTTTTTTAGAAAAACCTATCTGTACATATATGTGTAAGATATCAGACAGTGATCAGTAGTGCTTGGTGCTCTCAAGAGCACCAGCCACAGTAGGGATAGTGACAGGGAGGGCTCATCTTTGATAGCGTGGGCCAGTAAGTCCCTTGACTTGTAACAATCTGGGCTGGGGGAAAGTTTCCAAAGAAGGTAGCCCAGAAAACATGAAGCCCCTGACTTGGTCAAGGAAGAGTGAAGAAGGCACGTGGGACTGACCAGAGTGGAAGGAATGAGGGACAGAGGGTGACACTCTGCTTGGACAAGGACCAAGGAGCATGCAGAGCCTGCTTGGTTGTGAAAGAAGTTTCCATTCTGTTCTGAGTATAATGGGAAGTCTCTGGAGGGTTTTGAACAGGTGTGAAATAACTGATTTATATTTTAAAAGATCACTCTGGCAGCCATGGGGGAGTATTGGCTTTGAGTGAGCAGGGAAGCTGCTGGGAGGTTTTGAGCACACGGGTGGCATGAACCAGCTTGTGTTGCATGAGGGTCATTCGGGCTGCTGTCCGGAAAAGCGACTGTCGTGGAACCAGAGTGAGGCAGCAGCATCAGGGCCTCTCAGCAGCAATTCAGGTGGCAAATGATGGTGACGGAGAAGGGAATGGGGATAGTAAAAAAAAAAAAAAGTCAAATTTAGAATATTTTTGGAAGTGGAGGTAGGGTCTGAAACTTACACAGTTCAGAGGGCCTTCTTTATGAAAAAGAATAAAAAATTATGAATACAAAGTTAGGTTACTAATATGAATATTTAGAGTGAGAAACCACAACACATTATAATTTTTTAAACAGTATAAACACAGAAAAATAAGATGATATTAGTTCACTTCCTGACACAGCTGTGTCATTGTGTCCTCCCCTGTTTGGGCTGTACACTCCTTGATTGCCTTTTCCTATGACCACCAACAATATGATCACATCTTTTCTTATTGATATATTAGAAAATTGTCTTTCAGCTTCACAGTTGGCTGTCGATAGTGAGACATTTCTAACTACTCCTATAATATTTTGCCTAAGCATTATTTCTTGTCTGTGAGGAAGCCCTTAGGAGAGTGGTTCTCAAACTTCGCACCAGAATTTCCTGAAGGTCTTGTTAAAACACAGCGTGGCTGCAGCCCCAGAGTTTCTGATTCAGTAGGAGGGAGGGGGGGGCTAAGAATCTGCATGTTGCCAAGTTCCCACGTGATGCTGAGGCTGCTGGCCTGAGGCCCTTTGAGAAGCCCAGCTCTGAGGTCTCCTCAGGTGCCCCACCTCTACCAGGTTGCCCCTGGGTAGGGTTAGGGTGGCGCAGCCTGGTCATAATGGTCCTTGAGCAAGGAATGGTGAGGTCTCTCTTGTTCAGATCCTTGCTATCGAGGTTAGAGACAGTGTCCACCTTGACGTCACCAGGGCACACTGTTTCCGGGCACAGAGCAGATATGAGGTTGTGCTGGCAGCACACGGGCCTTGTCCAGAACCCCAGGCCGCCCACCACCGGCAGTACTCGGACCCTCCAGAATGAGGCCAGAGTTCCGGTTTCCGTTCTGCATGCTCCCCACCCCGGTCTGCAGAGGAGAATGCGCCAAGCCCTGGAAGGTTAAGCTTCCTTAGCTGCATGCCTCTGCAGTTTCCTGTGACTGCTGGGACACATTACCTCAAACTTGGGAGCTTAAAGCAACAGAAGTTTATTTGCTCAAGTTATGGATGCCTGAAATTCACAGTCAGTTTCATTGGCCAAAGTTAAGGTGTGGACAGGGCTGTGCTCGCTCTGCAGGCTCTAGGGGAGAACCCCTCCTTTCTTCTTCCAGCTCTGGTGGCTGCCACCATTCCTGTGAGTGGCTGCCTCACTCCGGCCTCTGTCTCTGTGATGACATCACCGTCTGCATGTTGTCAAATCTCCCTCTGCCTCTCTTTTTAAGGACACTTGTGATTGGGGTCAAGGACTACTTGGATAATCCAGGATAATCTATGTCAAGATCCTAATTACATCTGCAAAGGCCTTCTTTGTTTATAAAGTAACATTTATAGGTTCCTGGGATTATGGCCTGATATCTTTGGGAGGCCATAATTCAGCCTATCTCAACATGTTAAGTTTGAGATTTCTGTTATATACATCCAGGTGGAGATTGGAAAGAATTTATTAGTGGGTGATTGAGAAAATGGATCAGTCAGGAAAGAATGCTTCCAAACTCCCGTGTGTAACAATAGACATCCCCTTATGATTAGTGAAATCTGTAGGACAAAAGAAGATGAAAGTAGTGAAATTGGAAGGTCATTTAAATTGTGCTTAATTATGAATAAATGCATTATGCTGCCTTTCAAAATAACTTAATAGAGGACAGGGATTAGGTCAAATAAATAAATTCTGTAGAAGGTCTGATATTCCATAGGAATAAGAAATACTGAGTGACATTGAAAGTCAAGGTAAGTAAAGATAAAACAATCATAATGAGGTGTATCTTATTTTCAGATTTTCTTATGCTATTTATTTATTATTTTACTGGATATGCCTGACTTTAAAAACTAGTATAATTTTAGGTAGGGGACACAATGTTACAGAAGACAAGGTTATCTTTGAAAGTCAAAAAACTCATGTTCTGAAACATAAGATACATAGCCTTTACCTGGAAGTGCTTTTCTCAGTATTAATGTTTGGAATCATGAAAGGAATCCACAATACTGCCACAATTGTTTAACCACGTGATGTGCTCTACAGACATACAGCTGAGCGTTAGAGAGGAGGACTGTATGTATCAGAGCTTTATCAAGTCACTCTGTGTGACAGTAAATGGTCAACAAAGAATTTCAGGTGGAATGATTTACATTTGTGGCCAAAAATCAGGGTTGGTTTTATTGTTTGCTTACTAATCTATTAATTACATATCTATCGTGAAATAGTTTTACATGAAAGGAAATAACACAAGAATAAATATCTTTGTTCATCAATGTAGATCAATGAACTGATATAGTGCTTAGTAGATACTATAGAGAAATTCCAGAATTTCTAGAGTTTCCTTTTTAAAAGGCACATTAAGTAAATGTAAACTTCCTCTATTTTTTCCCCTGATTCGGTTGAATAAAGACATTTTAGTTTTGCTTTTTTAATACTTAAAATATTATTTGAGAAATACTTCCTAGTTTTATGTCAAATATTTTTAGTTTAAAAAACACAATTCTTTGACTCTACATAAAAACTTTTGTTATATCTCACTTTAACAGCAACCAGTAGGGTCCAAGTAAAAACATTTTAAGATACAGTTATAACTTCTAAGCAGTAATGAACAGGTAGCATTGGAGTATTAATGGTTCTGTAATAGTTTCCAACCTAAGTTGCTTCAGAACAAGGCAATAAGAGTGCTAAGGACTGATTTTTTAAAATTATTTTATAGCAAGCTACCAACTAGAAATACTATAATCAGTTGGACATCTAGCAGGGTGGATCATCTTATGGACACTGTGGCTCGGAAATCTGAAGAACAGTGGACCTGTGGGGTCTGTACACTAATAAATAAGCCGTCTTCTAAGTCATGCGATGCCTGCTTGACTGCAAGGCCTGTTGGTAAGACTGAATTTTGAATTTGAGTTTGTTACATTTCTAAGAAGGTTAATTATACAAAGGTATATATCTTGTACCATCTTGATATTCCATAACTAAGTTAAGTGCTTTCTTTCTGAAAGGTTTAAAGGAATTGCTAGCTTTTGCAGGTAAACCATGCTAATATTCTCTATTGAATTTTTTTTTTTAACGAGGAGGGAAAACATGCTTGTGCTAAAACAGTATGTGCCTTTGTATCTCAAAAAACAGAGATGATCACATCTGTTCTCTACTGTTTCTAATGAATTATTCAATAAAGCTTTGTTTTATGCAGATTTCAGCAACTTTCGAGTTTGTTATTCAGTCCAAGTGTGTCATAAATTGAAAGGAAGGATTTCTGTAAGAATATCTTTGCAGGTGGAATAGAAAAATGCTGAATTTTTTCTCTTCTTTATCCTTCCTACCCCTTGTTATTAAAATCTTTACCCAGACAATTGTACTGATTTCACTGAAATCCTTCAAAATAACTCTGTATAGTCACGATTTCATGCGTTTAGAGAATGTAAAACCTCAGAGGAAACCTGTGATTAAGAACCATCTCATTGCTGCAGCTTCTATTGTGTTCTCGGAGCATTATTTCTTTCTTCAATTAGAGAAGAGAAAGTTCATAGTTGACTTATGGACCCCTACATTGTGCTCACTGTCATGTTGTGTTTTTTTTCTCTGGGCCAGAAAGGCAGGCATCACCCCTTGCACAGCTTTGCTGCTAGCAGAAGGGACTACACCTCCTAGTTCTATCCCACGGAGCACATGGAAAACCATGCTTATTTCAGCATTCTGAAATGCCTCTACACATCTCATTAACTATTTCGTGGTTAATATTGAGTATGAAAGACGTATATCTTTTTTTTTTTTTTTTTTTTTTTTTTTCTGTTGCCCGGGCTAGAATGCCATGGCATCAGCTTAGCTCACAGCAACCTCAAACTCCTGGGCTCAAGCAATCCTCCTGCCTCAGCCTCCCAAGTAGCTGGGACCACAGGCATGCGCCACCATGCCCAGCTAATTTTTTCTATAGATTTTTATTTTGGCCAATGAATTTGTTTCTATTTTTAGTAGAGATGGGGTCTTGCTCTTGCTCAAGCTGGTCTCAAACTCCTGACCTTGAGTGATCCAACCTCCTCGGCCGCCCAGAGTGCTGGGATTACCGGTGTGAGCCACCATGCCCGGCCAAGACATGTATCTTAACAACAATATAGGACATTTTATAGTACAGATTCCAAAATCCTAGGATACTTTGTTGAGACATTGTGTTTAATAAATGGTAAGTCTTTCCTTGTAATTTATCTTTACTTATTTTATATAAGGCTTTCACTTTATCTTGTCGTTCACAGACACATTCCTGGTAGTCTAGAAATAGGCCTCTAACTGCTGCCCTAATGCTTTATGGGATATCATCTCTTAATTACCACTGCTTTAATATTTTGCCTAATATTAGCAAAACTGATAGCTGAATGACCTTTAAATGCTTAAACATAATACAAAGCAAATACAAATCTTGGCTCCCTATAAGTTGTTGAAATTTTGCATTTTAAATATTTCATTTCCTAACAAAAGATGACTAATTCTGACTTGCTCAAGCTGACTTAATATTATTAGTTGTATATATATTGGTTCACTATAATAAAGTGAACTAAATTTTTTAATCAAATAAAAAGATGTTTCAAATAGTCCATTTATAGGAATATTACAGAATGACTTATGTCTCCTTGCAGATTCAATGCTCAAGAATGAAGAAAATCCTATTGCTTTTAACAACTTAGTGAAGTACCCTTGTAATAGCTTTGGAAAACCAGACACAGAAGTGAAGATCAACAGGAAAACTGCATTTGGAACTACAACCCTTGTCTTAACTGATTTTAGCAATAAATCCAGTACTTTGGAAAGAAAAAAAAGCCAAAACCAGATATTAGATGGGGAGTTTCCAAACCCTCCTCCTCCTCATGTTTGTTTTAGTGATACACAGCACCCCTCCAAGGAGAGAACAAACTATATAACTCAACTATCTAGCAAAGTAAACACATCACCTACAGTCTGCTCTGAGTCTAAATTATTCAGTCCAGCACATAAAAAATTGAAAACAACCCACTACTCATCACCAGATCTCAAAAGTTGCAACCCTGGATTTTCTAAAAGGTATGATGCCTCTAACATTGGTCTTTAAGGTGTTTGCATTGAGTTTCAAGAAGGAAGAAATATCATCTAAGGAAGTTGAATTGATTTTGGTAGTGTAAATCAAACACTGAAAGACTGTAATGATAATTTGCCTCTTTTACCTTCTCTAGCTTATAATGTTACAGAAGGGAAGGAAATGAAAAACAGAATTTCCTATAACTATAAAAAGTTTTTTTTTTTTTCCTGATGGCAAAAATATACATGCTCAAATATAAAGTATTTGGAAAATATAAAGCAAAATACTTAAAAAACTCATAGCGGTTATCAGTAACCACTTTTAGCATTTTTTTTTTATATTTCTTTCCAATGAAAGATAGTTCTAGGAGGAAAACTATCATTTATAAAAGTGTAGTAAATATCCTGTGTTCTAAAGAGAGTGATCCGAGATGCCTTTTAGTGACCTTTCTGCTAAAGAACATGGCAGCATCTCAAACAGCCACACGGGATGGTTTATTTCAACCAAAAAGTCCTGAAGAGCATGCTTGCTGCTTTTGTATCTGAAATTCAGAAGCTGTAATTCCAATTAATGAATACTGCCAGAGCAGGTAAGTTTTATGGAGCTATAAGCTACATGTCCAGAAGCCCCTCAGTTGCTGTCACCTGTGATGAAGAAATTTTAATACACAATGTCATCTTCCCTTTTCCTTAATGATTATTGACAGCTCCTGAAACAATTTCTGTTGACCCTCCTTTTCCCCTTTATCTGCCCCTCCTCCTCCCTTTAACTGGGCTTTCTAACTATCACAAGCTGATGTTGTTGCCTCTATCAGAGTGGCATTTCTCCAAAATTTTCTTTTTCTGAGCTGCTTTTTTTCACCCTTCATAAAGCAGATGCCTTACATCTAGCGCTTTTAAATGAAGTGAAGAATTTTTGACATGTGAACAAAGGGTCTTCTTACCATGTATGTCTTTTCTTGCCAGTAGGAGACAAGCCGAGAAAGTTACAGTTGTCCCTTCGTGTCTGTGGGAACTTGGCTCCTGGGGGTCATGGAACTAACCAAATCTGCAGATGCTCTAGTCCCTAATGTAAAATGCTGTAGTATTTGCATATAGCCTGTACACACCCTCCTGTGTACTTCAAATCATCTCTAGATTACTTATATTACCTCATACAACACAAATGCTATGTCAGTAGTTGTTATACTGTACTTTTTATTTATATTATTTTCTATTGTTATTTTTTTTTTCCCCAGAATAATTTAGATCCAAGGTTGGTTGAACCCACAGATGTGGATGCAGAGAAATAACTGTTCTCTGGGTGGGATCTAAAGTAATCTCAGGTGGAATTCTGATTGCTAGCTCGTCCTCTAATTAACTCTGCCTTTACCGATGGGGAGATTCCTCCTCTGGGCAGTGGGATGAGGAACCATCTGGTGAACACACTGGTTGGTAGACCAACCTCTGCCAGTCCTTAAAGCTTGTTTTGTAACAATTCTGAGATCGTTTTTACTTAGTACATGTATTTATTCCAAGTTTCCTATTCTGACTCTAAATTTACCATTAGTTAATCCTTGACTGATTTTTTTTAATGTTGTATTTATAATCATTTATGAGAACTAGTTTTACTTTTGTCCATGTACTCATGTTTGAATTACATTATAAATGCCAAACTTTTTACTATTTGGATAAACATACCACCTTTTCACTTTAATCCTAATTCACATCTCATGATGAAGTTTATGAAGGACTTAATTAAGAGTGTTTGAGTTACGATTCTATTGTATGGGAGCAAGTCAATTTTGAACAGCCTTTCTGTTCTGTGGCTTAAGTAGAAAGAACAGAAGTGATCATTGTGTCACTTTGTGGCATTCGTTGTACCCAGATGAAATATCTTGGCATATTTTTATCCCCTTACTGCTTTATAGAAAATCTCAGACAATTTAACTAATGAATTAGAGATTTAAAAAAACATTAATGTAACCTTAAATTTAAATGATTTCTTCATAAGCCATTAGTAATGGGATCATATGATTAATCACTGTGCACAGCATCTTAGAGATGCTGCAGCCTGTGTATGTATTGAATATAAGAACACCAGGACTGAGACTCCACAATCAATCAGGATCAACTAGCAGAATAAATGTCAAGTGATGAAATAAATTCACTCAGCAGCCCTTCTGCACCCAGCTACTTTACAAGGAATAAATTGCAAATTACTGTCATTTATTTCATTTTTCTCCTTGTCTGGCAGCGATAGTGTTCATCTTGTGGACAAGATGCTTAGCAGAAGCTCACAACATAATACTATTAAAGCAGGTGGTCCACTCATAATTTATAGCCAGTTTATTTTTTCTTTAATAATTATATGGCAATTAATTTGACTTTTGTTCTCTTAATTACTGATCTCATTACCACATAATACATGCAGTGTTGATGAGGCATATTTTTGGATTGGTCTTTAAATATATGTGAATTCCATCCAGCTACTGGATTATAAATTAGATGATTGAACCAATTTTTAAGCAGTTAAGAATAACGACTAGAAACAGTTGCAGTCTTTGATCCAATTATTGTAAACACAGAGCAAAACGAAGTGATGCATTTTCAAAGAATGCGTGTGTTTTCAGTTGAAATATTTCCTGAGTTGATGCAAAGGCTCACATAGAAGAGTGAAATGATGCTCACAAAATCGTTAATATTTTCTAATGTCTGCTGCCATCAGGGGTGCTGAAGGTCTATCTTGAATCACCAGTGCTGGCATTGACACTTTGTACTTGTTTCTGGGTCACTTTTTGGAATTTTCAATCCCTAAAAATTTCAGAACTACCTGGGACCATCCAGGATAAGTCATTTAACTTCTGTTTGTTTGTTCCTGGAAATAGTCCTGTGTGACAAAATCTGCATGCAGTTAATTCACAAAAATTTCAGGTAGTATTTTTATAATGAATCACTCTATCTGTAAAATAAGTTAAACTATGATAAACTGATCATTGAAAAAATAATGTTCACTTTGAAATTACAGGCCTTGATATTATCTTCCTTCTTGATGATAGTTTTTATCTGATCACTATACAATTTGGTTTATTTATTAATTAATAAGTATTTATTGAGAACCTGTTATGCCTCAAGCCCTGTTCTTGATTCTAAAGACATCTACATCAGCAAACTATGGCAGGGCCAAATCCAGCCCTGTTTGTGTAAACAAAGTTTTATTTCTATTTGTTTAGATATTTTCTATGGCTGCTTTTTATGCTACAAACTTGGACCATAAGACTTGCAAACCTAAAATATGCATTATGAGTTAACTGGAAAGATTTGCTAAGCCCTGATCTATTATTTTAATAGACCATTTATAACAGTATTAATATTCAAAATGATGGTTTTAATCATCAAATTAAACTATTCTGTGTGCTAAATTCACCTACGAAAATGCTGTGCTACATTTTAGAAATTTTTAAAGTAATGATTGAAACAAAAGGGACCAAGATGTCCTCAATTAATTAGGACATTTAATTAATCTGGGTAATGTTTTCTATCATAAATCAAGATGAGCTGTGCCTATTTAGAGCTGATATGATCACAGGTGGCATCAGAATCTTGGTTACATCAGCTCAATGCTTCACAACTTAATGTGCATATGAATCACCCAGGAATCTCGTTAACTTGCAGATTCTGATTCTGTGGACACTCTGGAGTAGGGGCAGATAATTCTGTATTTCTAAGTGCAAGTGATACTAGTGCTCTGCTCAATGGACCACACTCTGAGAATAAGATAGCATAAGAGAATAAGATACCAAGAATAAGATAGCATATGGCTATTTTTATTTTTTTTTTAACCTTCCACCAAAGAAGAAACAATGAAATGAACCAGAGGGAACATACTGGGCCTTTTCATTCCACCTTAATCCCACCTTTCACCTTTGTCCTCCTCCCCAGTAAAGCTTTAAGAGTAAGAGAATCTAAACCTCTTCCTAGAACCCTGGAGCTTCCTAGGTGGGGGCAAGTAGGTTAGAAAAGAATTGTTATCTAAGACAGCCACCTTTAAAATAATGTATAAAACTGTTTTTATGTGTACATATTCTTTAGTAAGAAGGCATCATTCCATTTGTTTCTAGTAATAATCCTTATTTCTCCTTTAAATTCTTTTGAAGATAAAGTTTTAATATCACCTCTTTTGGAGGGGGTTGGTGGAATGGAGTGCTGTGGAAAAGAAAAGGCTGTTGCCTCTTAGCTTTCCAATTTCTGAATGGTATTACCCATGATTCTAAAATGTAACCTACTACCCCCCTCCCTGAAAAAGGTGCCAGCAAAATCGTTGTGGTGAAATATTTAATTATAATGATTTCTTTAGCAATGCCTACAGCTGCTTTCATTTTGCAAATGGCTGCTATAAGAACAGCTTCAAAAACTGCCCTCAGAGTGTTGGAGTCCATCCCAGCAAACATTTTTAAAGCAATATATATTTAAGCATCTGTGGTAGAAATGAGTTTAAACCAATTTCATCACAAATAACATCACTTTCTCTGAATATTTCAATTAGATATGATGCCTTAAAGCATCATTATAGAAACAAATATGTGAAAAATATAATTTAGGAAACAAAAGAGGGAAAATGCCTCTGATTTTTAAGTATTTTTAAAAATTATTTAAGAGTGATATTGTTTCTTCAGAAATTTATGCAAAATATGAGAAAGAATAAACTCTTATCAAAAAGTTAAAAGTTAGGCATATTAAAGGGAAGAACTTCTGGTTTTAATTAATGTGAACACTTTTTCTCTTCAACTGGTGTATTAAAAGACTAAACTCCCATAAAGGCATAAAATATTCACAATATAGAAAATTAAAAATAATAATGAAGCTCCTTTTCAAAGAGAAAATTCTGCTTATACAGCTACAGTGTAAGGCCAGCTTCTAGCCTTTGCCCGATGTATGGGGGTAACCTCCAAATACTATCAATCCTAATTGTGGGGGAGAATAAAGCTTCCCCACTAGCTTTGCAGAATTCACATTTCTGCCCTGCCAGGCAGCCTGTTTCTTGCTGGAATATGATTGCAACTATTATAGTAGCCTTGATCAAAGAAAAGCATAGAAAATTGTCTTTAAAGTGGACAGTAGGAAGAGTGATCTCTATGGCCTTGTCAGAGCCATTGCTGAGAGTTTGCTACCGATGAGAAAATAATTAGAGAAGATTGTGATCTAGTTACCTTGGGGGATGGGAGGCAGCTGGACTTGAGAATATTTTAGAGGAAATAAAATTAGCCACACTGTAATATTGGATAAAACAAGAACTTAATATTACAGATGAAAACTAAGAAATCTGATGTACTGGGTGTACAGTGTGGTTGTTTTTATTCTTTAGAAATTTAAATTATTTGTTTTGCGTACATAGATAGCTTTGGAAGTAAATTAGAATTACCCAGGAAAACAAAGAATTAAAAACACAGTAGTTTGTGTAATTACCTAAAGTTGACCATGGTCCACTTTTTGATATAATCTCTTCGTGTGAGTGGAATTCTAACACGAGGGGGCGAGGTGGTGTGAATGATCCCTTTAGCACTCTTATGCTGTAGTTATTTTGTGACCTGTCATTACAGCGAGCTTCAAATTAATATGGCAGATGGTCCCTGTGCCTTCAATACTGGCAGTCCTCGCTGCAGTAAACACAACCGCCTCTGCACTTTCCGCGTCGTGAGGAAGGATGGTGAAAACAAGGGCAGGCAGTTTTATGCTTGTCCTCTACCTAGGGAAGCACAGTGTGGATTTTTTGAAGTACGAGTAAGATTTATCTAGCTTACTACAATGTAATCGAATACTTTGGTTATTAAAATGTAACAAATAGCAGTGTTTTTCTAGTCTTACCTTAACAACTTAAATAGTCATGTTGGTATTCAGTCCAAAGCTTGAATGTTGAATAACTTGAAATTCAAAGATGTTCAGCAAAAAAAAAAAAAAAAAATTTAATGAAATGATAGCTATTAGATTATAATAGTGTATTTCATGTTGTTATATTTGTCACCGCAAGTCTAGAAGTGTTGGCCTTGGCTTATAACAAAATAGAAGATATTGAGTGACTAGTAAGTAGTAGTAGTAGTACTTATGTGGCGAATGATCCAAGATAAGAATTTGTTCTTCCAAACTTCAGTGGTACATCAAAACCTCTGGTTTATGCACCTACTGTATACAAGAAGAACAATTACATGCCTGAGATTTATAGTAACAGTAACAAATCCTAGTACACAAGCTTGACCAGAAAGTGATGGCTCAATGACATTCTGGCTATAGGGGGCCCCTCATGCCCTCCCAGTTTCTGGGTGTGTCCCTGAAGGTGAATCTGAAGTGGGAGACACGAACCTGGGACCCTTTTAGTCTCACTTTCTGCATTCCTCAGTGTGTGCACCTCACCATGCGGAGTGTGGTGACTCTAATATTTTAAGACACATATGATTCCAAGTTATGCCTTATCAGGAATGAAAGTGAAAAAAGAAAATATTGCCGTTTTCAGTGCGGGAGCAAACATTTTCTGGTTGGGCTTATTGTGAGACAAAATAGCCTGTGTTCAATGTGATATCTTGCTAAGGAATTTCCAAGGGAAAATAGGACAGTGATGTTAGATCTCAGTCTCTGAACACAATGTGACTATATCCTAGTAAATTCACAGATTTCCTCCTTAAGAAGCTTTTATAGATGTAACGGAGAAAATATTACTAGCAATATTCATAATGATGCTAAAAATGTAATAGCTTAAATCATACCTCTTGTGAGGCCAAAATTAATAAGAATGATATAATGTAATCTGGCTAATTTAGTCCAAGTAAGTCCCTATTGGGTTCTTTCTTTTCCTAAGAGACTAAAGAAGTTTAGTCTTAGAATCATGACAAATACTTGATCTTATAGTTTTAACTAAAACAGACTTATAGCAGGGACACTGGTGATTACAGCAAGATTCTGGTAGTTTTCAATTATTCTTAATAATGTAAAGGAAACCTGTAGATAAAGGGAAGCTCAAAATAATGGCAATTTTCTATGTAATTCAAACAAATTTGTTAGATGCCTCTTATAGGATATAAGCTTTTTTAAGGGCAGCAGCTAATGACTTAGGTCTGTTTTATAATGTCAAATTAATGGTAACAGCAGCGAAGGCAATATGGCACTAATAAAATGGGCCCAGGCTCAGGCTGTACATCACTGTAACTTCCGTCTTGTCTTCTTCCTCACCACAGTGGGCGGATTTGTCCTTCCCATTTTGCAGCCATGGCAAACGCTCCATCATGAGAACAGTGTTGAAGATTGGACCTAATAATGGGAAGAATTTCTTTGTGTGTCCTCTTGGGAAGGAAAAACAGTGCAGTTTTTTCCAGTGGGCAGAAAATGGGCCAGGAATAAAAATTATACCAGGATGCTAATATTTTCTCCTTCTGTAGAATATCTGGCATTTGATCTCTTCAAACTGTGCGTAATGTTTAGTTTCCTTTTGTTTAATAGAAAGGTTGGAGAATATCTATGATAAGTTGAAAAGTTACTATAATATTTGAGAATGTTCCATTTTTTAAAAAAATGTGTGCCATCTTTCCATCCTGTGGCTATGTGTTTCCTTTTACCTTGATGAATGCTTTGTGTGTTTCATAAGATGTACCGCATATTCCATGTATAATGTACATTTCATGCGTTTGGTAATAACAATAAAGTATTTTTAGTATGCTCTAGGTCTCTTATAACTTTGGGGAAGCAGTGATTTTGTTTTAGGCTTATGCAGCACAATAAAATGATAAGATACTTTGTGAATGCTTTTCTCAGGTGCTACCACTATTTATAATAAATACGATTAAAAGTATTTCTTATTTTCTTAAATAAAATTTTTAAAATGAGATCACCTTTATGAAGAAGAATATATGCATTTTTCTGTTCAACTAACATTAAATTTGAACAGAGTATGAAATTATCAAGAACAGAGCATGTTTCATAGTCTTACAAGTGCTTTAACTCTAAGCTAAAAAGACAGAACCAACCTAAGATCAGAGACAGGCAGTGACTCTACAGAACAGAGTGGGAACTGGACTGGACAGTTGACAAGCTTAGCTGACCCAATGTGAAGTACATAGGCTGAGCATTAAGACGGGCACTTTAATTTTGCAACAAGGAGGGGAAAAAAAGCCCATTACATAAAGGACTTCCATAAAATTCAGTCTCCAAAAACGTTCAAATTAATTAAAAGGAAATATAGGCAAATGAAGCACAATAGGTTTGTTTGTTTGTTTGAGACAGAGTCTTGCTTTGTTGTCCAGGTTAAAGTGAGTTCCCGGGCGTCAGCCTAGCTCACAGCAACCTCAAACTCCTGAAGCGATCCCCCTGCCTCAGCCTCCTGAGTAGCTGGGACTACAGGCATGCACCACCATGCCTGGCTAATTTTTTCTATATATATTAGTTGGCCAATTAAATTCTTTCTATTTATAGTAGAGACGGGGTCTCGCTCTTGCTCAGGCTGGTTTCGAACTCCTGACCTTGAGCAATCCGCCTGCCTCGGCCTCCCAGAGTGCTAGGATTACAGGCGTGAGCCACCGTGCCCGGCCACAATAGGTTTTAATATGATAAATTTAGATCCTTATGTAATAAGAAATGTGCAGGATATACATGAAGAAAATTTTACTGTGAAGCACCAAAGAACCAGATGGATTCTGGTTCAAACAAGAACAAAAACAGGTTTTTATTTGGAAAGGATGAATGTGTTTAAAAACTTCCAGATTTAGTTTTTGAGTTTTAACAAAATGTCTCATCAAAATCTCAAGGGTGTTCATGCTTTCACTGTGGCCTGTAAAACTGTCTCAACCCAACCTTTCCACGGATGACTCTAATTCTGGACAAAATAAAAAACAATACTAGAGAGTGAACCAAAGTAGATTCTTGAAGGGCGTAAAATTTAGAGGAAGGAACCAGCTGAAGGTGATTTCCCTTTTTTTTTTTTTTTTTTTTTTTTTTTTGACAGCTTTTATCCTGAGAGCAGAACGAGATCAGTATCAAGCAGGCTGGCCAGGACTTCAGTAGAAAACCGAAAGCCTTTCTCGCGGGAAGAGTGACAGGGACGCCAGGGGGAAATATCAGAAAGGACTTTGGGGCAGGGTGGGGAGGCCGAGTTCTGTGTGTAAGCTAGCTCCGTCTTTGTCGTTGGCACCTGGGCCATGTATGCCTGGGACCATGGGAACACACAACAGCTGAAGATCAAAGAATGAACCAAGATTGATTCTGCCAGCAAAGAAAGTGTGCAGTTCAAATCTAACCAAACTAATTGGCGGCTGAGACAAAAATACCCATGCTTTCTAGAAGAATACACCAGGTCCTGGAATAATGTCCTTTCATTCAACATGGTTTTATAACGTTGGGGAAAAAAAATCGCTTTCCAGCTGGGACCCCTGTGTGTGTGGAAGCTGCACGTTCTCTGCGCGGGTTCCTCCCCCTCCCCAGGTCTGCGCAGGTTCCTCCCCCGGCCCAGAGCGGCGCCAGCAGGTGCACCTGCGCGTGCACGGTCCCGTGTGAACAGGTGTGATGTGAGCGGGTGTGGGTGCCCTGCCAAGGGACGGCCACTGGCCAGGGTGGGGCCCCCTGGGCCCTGAGCTGCCGGGACGGGCTCCGGCCACCCTGGCACTGGGCTGGGGTGGAAAATGAATTAGTTCAAATTATTGTAAAGTAAAAAATTTGAAAGTGGGAGGTAATTGTACAAATGCACAGTTAACAATGCAGTATGAAATGCTCAGCTACTGCCCTACTTGCTAGTGTGTGGTCTTTGCATGGTGGGAGGAGGCATTCATGACAATTCTTTGCAAGCATTTGTGCCTAGACTTAAGCCACAACCACTGTCAGGAGTTCAACAAAAATTGGGTAAATATTTTTATTAATCCTTCTTAAATGAATATAGCTCACGTTTATTTTAATTAATATTAGAAGTGTTTGGGGTCTTTCTTTAGATTTGTGGTAATGTTTTTGTGACTCAAAGTATGCTATAGAAACTTAACTCTTTATTTTTATCAATTAGCCTGTGGGGAAATTCGTTTAGCTGCACACTGGAAGATGACCCAGATGTTGGAATTAGCAAACAAAGGCTTTTAAAGCAGCTATTATTATAACTATGCTCATAGAAGTGAATGCTAAAAGGAAATGATACCATGTGGAAATTCAAATCTTTCCGAAGCACTACAGAAAATTTGAAATGGGAAATATCTGAATAAGTAGAAAATAGTTTTTCTTCTTAGTTTCTTTAACATATATGGGACTGTTTAAAGCAAAAATTTATAATCTTGTTTTGTGAAATTTATAATGCATGTAGATACATGTGGCAACTATAGCAGAGAGGATATAGAGACTGAAGGACCTATATGATTGCAAGTTTTCTCCATTTTTATGTGAAGTGTTATATTAACCATAACTGTATGAAGTTAAGTATAGATATGTCATACCTATTATCAAATTTGGGGCATTTTCAACCATTATTTCTTAGAACACTTTTTCAGTCTCATACTCTTCCTCCTCTCCTTCTGAGACTCCAGTAACACAAATGTTAGATTATTTTATTGTTACTCTCCCACAGATTCTCAGGGCTCTGTCCATTTTCCCCGGCCTATTTTTCTTCCTCTCTTGTTCAAACTGAGTAAATTTTATTGATCTGTCTTCAAATTCACTTAATCTATTCTCTCTCATCTATCTCCACTCTATTACTGAGACCATCCAGGGAGTTTTTTATTTCAATGATTGTATTTTCTGGTTCTTTCATTTCTGCTTGGTTCTCTTTTATAACTTCTATTTTTTTGTTTGTTTGTTTTTGCTGAGATTTTCTAATCTTTTATTGGTTTCAGGATAATTTAGACTTTATTCTTGAAGCACTTTTACAATAACTGCTTTAAAATTCTTATCAGATAATTCCAACACCTGGTTAATCTAAGTATTGTCATTGGTTGAGTATGTTTTCTCATTCAGATTATTGTTTTCCTGGCTTGGGGCATGACAGGTGATTTTTTTTTTATTGTATCCTGGATGTTTTAATTATTATGCTAGGAGAGTCTAGATGCTATGTACATTTATTCTAGCATGTTGTCACTCTGTTTAGGTTTAGTGAGTAGATTCTGGCCTATGTTGTGGGCATTAGTGCCAATGACAGTTTAGCTTTCAGAGCCCTGGCTCTCCTGCTTCCTTCTGGCATTGCTGTGGCTTCCCCGCTGGTGCTGTCTGCCGGCACAGTGTTTCCCTGCGTTGCCTGGTGATTGCAGACCACCTTCTCCAGTGGGGGAAGACAGAAGCCTCTGTGCCTGCGTCTCCTTATGCCCCTGGGTGGAGGGAAGCAGTTACTGTTACTGTCCCACATCAATGACCTTGGCTCCGGCAGCAGCAGCAGAATCAGGACAGGGCTGTCAGATTTGAGAGCCTGCGTCCCTTAATGCTCGTGCTTAACTTTTGGAAGATGGCCACGTGCTCTGCTGATATTCGTGCCTTTGGAGTTTATCTGCCTGTTTCCTGGTATTCCAAGTCAGTATCATGAGAATATCCAGTGTTTTAGGAGGAGAGAAAACAAACTGAGTGAGACAGAAGGTAATATGAGGAAGATAATGGTTTTTAAGAGCTACTATTTCTTGAGCCCTTGTTTTGTGGCAGCTGCTGTGCTGAACACTTTCCACAGATTGTTTCACTTAATCCTCTTGACTACACTGTGTAATAGACTTACTTTGCTGTTGTTGCGTTGTTGTTGTTATTTCTAATTTTCCGGCTTAGAAAACTTGGCCTTATGTAGGTGAAGTAGGAACCGTGTCTATCCCACAAGCCATGGTTTGAATGAACTTTGCAAAGCTCTAATGCCCACACCCTGAATAAGCTATTCTCTTTGCCATATATTAAAGTACCAGAATTGCATGTCTTTGATATGTCCAGATATCTAACAATCATATATGTAGGAAAAAATAAGAAAAATACACAAATGAAAATAATTGTGCTATGATGACATTTGGTGATTTTTTTCTTCTCTAAAATTTATGTCAAATTTATAATGTTATAGTTCTTGTGAATTTGTTTAAATTTTAATGTATATATATATATTATCTCCATTTTTAAAAAAGAAATCCATCATTTCCATGTACTTTTCTAAAAGTACCTATCATTGTATATTTTAGGGTCACCAAAATACACAATGATAGATATTAGCAAGTTGGTATAGGAAATGAAAGAGCAAATGTTCTAATGAGTTTCTCGAAAGATAAAAACTTTGTTTTACTTGGATATTTTTACAGCACTTTGTATCATTTCTGAAGGTTATACTATAATCTGCCTCATGTTATATTTATCCTATCTGCATTTCTTTTTTTTTATTTGTAGTAACATGTGATACATTTATTGTTAATTTTACTAAGTTAACAAATACATACTTTTAAATGTCCTCAGTTTTACTTTCTAAAATGTTCAATATCCATAGATATAATTCATAAAAACAAAAAAGTCCTCAATAATTTAAGAGTGTAAAGGCGTCTTGAGGTCAAAATGTTTGTAGACACTGACTTAAACGTATTCGCTAACTTAACAATATATCCTGAATACATCTCCAAGTCAATATTTATAACAGTTGCAGAGATTTCTAAATATAAATATAGGTGCAATATAACTTCTTTAACCAGTCATTTGTTTCTATTTTTCTACCGTTATACACACAAGGCATTTAGTTGTATCTTTGTGATAACTCATGATTATTTCTTAAGACTCAGTTCCTAAAATATAATTATTTGGACAAAGGACCAAATTCTAAAGACATTTATTCACATTTCCTCCTAGAACAGGTCAGAGAGTTTAAGAACCTTCTTAAGA